CCAGGCTTACCCCCCCCCCCTTGCCATATACCAAAATCCGCAACTCTTTCTCCTGGGGTGAACTTCCATGGAATGGAGTATATATGCCCCTTTCCCTTGCCCATAGGCCCTGGGCATACATCGTATGCCTGGGATCAATTGGACAGGCCTCCTGTATAAGTAGTAGTCAAAACATTTAGCCCTTCCTTCTCTTTCTACAGCATACCCTGTAGATAAGGGGTTCTTAACCTAGGGCCCATTAACTTGTATTTTTAAAAAAGTAATTTAATAACTTTTTCAATAGAATTGGTTTCCTTTATAATCCTATGTAGTTTATTTAATGCACTTAAAAACATTGTTCTGAGGGAGAGTCCATCCAGAGGCTTTGCCAACTACTGCCAAAGGAGGCCAGGACACACAAAAAGGAAGAGAACCCCTCCTCTAGAATGGCCTTCCCTCTATTGTCCTTCCTCACTGGATTTCAGGGCAGAGGAACCTAGTGCAAACCATGGCTCGGCCACTTACCACCTGTGTGATGTCAAGCCACCCAGTTGACCTCCTCTATAAAATGAGGGGGTCACCAAGGGGTGCCCTGTAAGGGTTCCTTCCAGCTCTGAATCTCTGATCAGATCTGGTTTGGAGTCAGGAAAACCTGGACTCATTCTCACTGCTGAGCTTCAGTGGTCTCATCTGTAAAATGAGGCCTTGGACTTTAGGACCTACCTCTGAGGTTCCTTCCAACTCCAAATCTGTGATCCTAGAGCAGTTCTTCTCAGATTTTTGCCATCTTTTGGTTCTCATTGAAACCTGACTTTCTCCCAGTGACACCACATTTCTTGGTATCATCCTCAAAGCTGTCTGCTCCTTGTCTATCACCCCTGACACACAGGACCAGGAAGAGCCACTAGCGTGCCCCTTACTCCCCATGGCCTCTTCCAGTTCCATTACTCTGTAGCCACCTCTCCTTTAAAGCTCATTCTAGTCTCTCCAGATCCATCTTGCTGCCATCTGTGGCTCTTGAGGTCATTCTCCCTCCCCAGTATGTTTAGTACATGGTTCCTTCAGATGCCCTGATCTCCCACTTCCTTAACCTCCACAACTGCAATCTGCCCCAACCCTACACAAGAGAGCTCATACCTCAACACTCCAGCTTGGCCTACTCTTGCCCTGTCACCTGTCCCAAGTACCAGAATTCCTAGTTAGATCATGCTATGGAGAGAAAGCTGGAACCTGGGGAAGTTGAAACTTCTGCAGGACTTGAGCAAAGGATTCAAAGCCATTTGTCTCGATATTGAGTCCTTTGTAAAAGGCTACCCATAGAAATGCTGCCATTCTTCTTATAGAAATACGGTGATATTCGCTACGAGGATGTGTATAGCATGCGCCGGAGAAGTCGGCTGTATGTGATCCAGGTGCTTGAAGAAACCACAAAGCAGAATGTGGTAAGTGGGTGGAGGAAACGAAGCCACACAATGTGGCTCATTCTCTTTGGGCATCTTTTGAAGACAGTCATTCTGTGGGAGGAAAAATGAAAAGGACAAGAAAAGGAGCCCAGAGACTTACTGGGGCTTCAGAGACTGTATTAAGAAATGATTTTGTAGGAAATGAACTATTTGTCCCCTTCTGGCTATGGCGCAAGTTATTAGCAACCCTTTGTGTGTGATCTGGCTAACACAGCTGTAGCTCAGGAATGCTATAATGTAAGCATTCAAGGATGGCATTTGTATGGTGGGCTCTTCAATGAGACCTCGACTTAGTCATGCTGGCAAAGAAATGCCATTGTCTCAGAACTGAATTTTCTGGCCTGGACATGGTGGAATATGCAAGGCGACAGGGGACAAAGACAGTCAGGTGTTCAGTCTGGCATCAATATGGTGAGGCCCAGGGTGGAAGGGGGGAGTGGACCACACTGTCTAGGTAGAGATGAGTCATGGCAGGTTGGAAACGGAATAAGTAAAAGTTCTTATGCCCATCAGTAGTGGGATCAGGTCGATGAGTACCCACTACACTTCCAGCCTGGACCAGCTAGGGAGACCCATTCTTTAAAAAACACCTACACAATAACGACCAAAAAACCCCCTAAATGCTTTGAAGTTCTAATGACCAAACTTGGTCCCAAAGAAGAGATAGGAGAAGTGGGGGACCAAGGGTGTGGTGGTGCTTGCTTGTTCGCCCTTTGTTTTTAGAAGAGGACAAGGAACGCTGCATATAATGTCAGACTTTTTCAGGATGTTGGTTAGTTTTGCTAAACCATTGCCCCCCCCCTTTTTTTTTTATTCTTATAAGAGATGGTTCTCTAGGAGGAGGTGGGAGAAGAGACACATTGGTAGTGTAGGTGATGTAAAAACAAAAGATAATAATAAAATTTTTTCTTTAAAATCATTAGTTAATTAAACCCTTACTACCAAAAAAAAAAACACTAGTTGTTCTTGGTGGTGCAATTACTCCTACTAACTGACCTATATATAGTGCTTTAAAGTTAGTAAAATACTTTTTATCTGTGATTTCCTTTGGGCCTCACACCAAACCTTGAGATGTCAGTGCTACAGGTATTATCATATCCCCATTTTTACCAGTAAGAAAACCGAGGCTCAGAGAGGTTGACTTGCCCAGGGCAGAATTTGAACCCAGATGTTCCTAACTCCCAGTCTGGGCCTCTTTTCACTCTGCCATGCCAATGAGAAGGGACCTTATGGTCAAGTATTTTTAAATGTACCCTTCATTCTCCATTTAATAATTTATAACCAAGAAAAATGTTCCGAAGATAGGGTCAGTTTATAATATTGCCAAGACTTACTTGCTTCAAGACCAAGTCCCCAGAGACTTTAGGGCACATTTCCACAGGTCCCAGGCTCAACATGCAGATAAATAATTCAGGGACTCCATTAGCTTTGTGCCCCCTTGTTTATGCTCTCATTTGGCCTAGCCTTCATGAAGTAGGACACAATTACACCATTTCTAAACCGTTTCCTGGAAGGTTCTGTTTTTCAGCCCAGATCTCCTATGGCCTTTGAAGTGTTTAGTGACGCGCCTCCTTGATGACTTTAAAAATGGCCACCGTTTGTAAGAGAGAAGTGCATGTTGCCAGTAACCAGTGCCACTGGCTTCTGAGCCGCTGGCCTCCTTTGTCACTAATTTACCTCCATCTCTTTTAAGCTCCGGGTTGTATCACAGGATGTCAAATTCAGCCTTCGTGAATTAGAAGAGCTTTATGACATCTTTAAGGTAATATTCACTCTCTAACTGGAAAATAATGCTCTCTTAGGCGAATTTTATCAGTGTCACAAGCTGCTTCTGCTTTAATGAAATATTCTCACAATCTGGTATTTTTAATGAGATCACGTTCACTCATAATGTTTTCTGCTTCGATACCTTTCGTTGTCTTGACAGAGAGAGCACTTTTTGTCTTGTTATTGGAATTTGACCAGCACTGCCTTGAGGCACCACAACCCCAGCTTACCGTACTTGGAGCAGTATCAGATTGACTGCCAGCAGTTCCGAATACTATATCATCTCTTGAGCCCCTGGGCTTATTCTGCCAACCGGGACTGCTTGGCACTCTGGACCTTCAGATTACTGGATGAAAACTCCGACTGCCTTATCAACTTCAAAGAATTCTCCTGTGCATTTGGTAGGAGAACGTCAAAACTGGTTCTCTTTCTACAAAAAAAAAACAACAAAAAAACAAAACTAAAGGAATTCCATACTTGTAGGATAGCCTAGGTACAGATGATGATGATGATGATGATGATGATGATGATGATGATGATGATGATGATGATGATAACAACAGCCATAGTAATCATAGCCTATCTCTAGTGCCCTCAGGTTGGCCAAGTGTTTTACAAATATTATCTCATTTGATCTAGACACTGTAGTCTACATTCCTTCCCATTTTAATGGCTTTTGACTGTTTTTTTCTGGATTCTCAGAGCCACATTTAGAGGCCATAGAATCCCAGGGTTGGAAGGGTCCTCGCTGGCTGTGTAGAGTTGGAAGGTGGCGCCTCAGACAGTAGTCACATAGTCCAATCCTTGACCAAAGCATAAATCCCAGCAAGTAGTGATGCAGCCATTACTTAAAGACTTCCTGATGGGCAACTCACTTTCTCTTGGGGCAACCCATTCTGTTTTGAGGGTCACTAATTATTAGGAAGTTCTTCCTTAGATTGAGCTGAAATCTGCCTCCCTCTAACATCCATACACTACCGGTTCTTCACTCTAGGACCAAACAGAAAAAAAAAAAATCTAATCCATCTTCTGCATAACAACCTTTTAAATACTTGAAGACAGCTCTTCACGTCCCTTCTGAGTCCCTTGTTCCCCGTGTTAAACCTCCCTGCTTCCATCGGGTGATCCTCATATAACATAGACTCCAGGCCTTTCCCCAATCAGGCTACCCTCCTCTGGACACTCTCCAACTGAAGACCTCTGGGCCCAGAATCTCTGCCTCTCTGTGCTGCCTAAGATCAGATTAGCTGCTGCCTCATACCACTTACTCACATTGAGCTTGCTGGCCACTACAACCTCCAGATCTTTTTCAGACGAATTTTTGTCTAGCTATATCTACCTCACCTTATCTGTACTTAGAAAGTTAATTTTTGGGGAGCAAACATAATACTTTACATTTATTCTTATGGAATTTCATTGTTCCCTCTTTTATGACTTTACCAATTTGATGAGTGTGAGGTGAAATCTCTAAGAGTTGTTTTCATTTGTTCTTTCACTTGTTATTAGTGATTTTAAGCATTTTTTCATATGGTGATTGATCATTTGAATTTCTTCTTCTGAAAATTGTTCAACCCTTTAATGGCTCTTTGTGTGTGTGTGTGTGTGTGTATGTATGTTTGTAGGTATATGTATGTATGTTTAAATGTATATATAATATATATGTACATATATATGCATATATAATATATTTGTTTCAGTTCCCTAAACATCTTTGGAAGCAAAGATTACACACATACACCCAGTTGACAGCTTTTCTTCTTAACATAGCTATAATCCACTGAAAGCCTGAGGTCTTTTTTGTTTAATGAACTACTTTTTTTACGTTGTTTTTTTTTTCCAACAATTGTAACTTTTTTTTTGTGGCTAGGCAATGGGGTTAAGTGACTTGCCCAGCATCACACAGCTAATAAGTGTTAAGTGTCTGAGGCTGGATTTGAACTCGGGTCCTCCTGATTCCAAGGCCAGCGCTCTATCCACTGCACCACCTAGCTACCCCTTAACATTCGTTTTTAAAACTTTCAGTTCTAAATTCTCTCCCTTCCTCCCTCTCCACCCTGCCCATTGAGAAGGCAAGCAATTCGATATGCTATACATGTGTAGTTGTGCAAAATGCTTCCATAATAGTCATGTTGTGAAAGAAAACGTAGACAAGAAAAAAAAATCAAGAAAAATAAAGTTAAAAAATAGTAAGCTTCAATCTGTATTCAGACATCATCAGTTCTTTCTCTGGGAATGGATAGTATTTTTTCATCCTAAGTCCTTCAGAGTTGTCTTGGATTGTTGTATTGCTGAGAATAGCTAAGTCCTTCACAGCTGATCATCTTACAATATCACTGTTACTTTGTACACAGTCCATTTCATTTTGCATCAGCCCATGCAAGACTTTCCAGGTTTTTCTGAGAGCATCCTGCTCATCATTTCTTGTAGTACAATAGTATCCCATCATAATCCCATACCACAACTTGTTCAGCCATTCCCCAATTGATGGGTATCCCCTCAATTTCTAATTCTTTGCCGTCAGAAAAGATTTGCTATAAATATTTTTGTACATATAGGTTCTTTCCCTTTTTGTTTTTTATCTCTTTTGGGATACAGACCTAGTAGTGGTATTGGTAGATCAAAGGGCATGCATGGTTTTATAGCCCTTTGGGCAGTTCCAAATTGCTCTCCAGAATGGTTGAAACAGTTCACAACTCCACCAACAGTGCATTAATGTCTCATTTTCCCCACATCCCCTCCAACGTTTGTCATTTACCTTTTCTGCCGTATTAGCCAAGCTGTTAGGTATGACGTAGTACCTTAGAATTGTTTTAATTTGCATTTCTCTACTCCATAGTGAGTTAGAGTATTTTTTCATATGGCTATAGATAACTTTGATTACTTTATCTGAAAACTGATCATATCTTTGATCATTTATCAATTAGGGAGTGGCTCTCATTTTTATAAATTTGACTCAATTCTCTATATGTTTGAGAAATAAGGCCTTTATCAGAGAAACTTGCTTCAAAGATTTTTTCACAGTTACTATTGTTACTATCTTTCCTCTATCCTATCCCCCACCCCGTTTATTCTATTCTCTCTCTCCTTTCACCCTCTCCCTCCTCAAAAGTGTTTTGCTTCTGACTACTGCCTCCCCCAATCTGCCCTCCCTTCTAGCACACACCCCTCTTCTCTCTTCCCCTTCTCCTACTTTCCTGCAGGGTAAGACTTTTTAAAAAAAAATACATTTTATTTATTTTGATCAGCCAAGATCCATGTTCTCTCCCCGTTCCCCTGTATTGAGAACATAAGAAAAAACCCATTACACACACATATAGTCAATCAAAATGACTTTTTATGTTGTCCATGATCACAAATATTTTGTCTCATTCTGCGCTGCTGAGTCCTTCACCTCTCTGTCAGGAGGTGGAAGGCAAATTTCATCTTGAGTCCTCTGGCATCGTGGTTGGTCACTGTGCTGATAAGAGTTCAGCACACTAGTATCCCATCTCATTTATGCACCATAACTTGTATGGTTATAGGAGGAAGAGGCTCCTGCCATATTCCCATAGTGACGTGCACTGTTGCATTTCAGTGACCTGCTATGAAACTGCAGAAACCATACAAGTGGGGAGAGGGGCACAAGGTAGTTGCACAGGCAACCGGCTAATCTCCCACTGTGCTGGGGCCTTGCTGTACTGCCCTGCTGGGGTAGCTCTCTGCCAGGGACCAGGTGAACTCCCAGAGAGCAATTCTCCTTTTTAACCAGGTGTAAGGCCTTGCTCTAACGAAATTCAGTTTGGGGAGGGAAGCTAAGAGCATCTAAGGAAGCTCAGAGAGTTTGTCTCTTTGCTTCAACAACCAGAGGCTTCTCAATTATGGCCACTGGCTAATATTTGAACCTTAATGAACTTTCTGGGCTGCTAGTATTGGCAAATTATTTTCTGGGGTCATGTGCCATTGAAATGAATGCTTCAGGCCTTTTTAATTGCTCCTTTTTGTGTGTTTTTCTTTTAATTTGACAGATATCCTATATAATGGAAGTTTTACTGAGAAGCTTAAGCTGCTTTTCAAGCTGCATATTCCACCAGGTAAGACTTAGATAGTGTCAGGTGCTGTAGAGGTAAGATCGATCCCGTTTTCACAATTTGGGCAGTAGGGGGCACTCCTCAGTGGAAATGCTGTCCTCCAATGCCAGGGACTTGGAGAGTCTTTGAGAGAGTTGCCTGGGGCACTGTGATCCTAGGGCCATAGATCTGGAGTTGGAAAGAATATTAAGGTCTGAGCTCTGGCCTTGGAGTCAGGAGGACCTGAGTTCAAATCCGACTTCAGACACTTGACACTTACTAGCTGTGTGACCCTGGGCAAGTCACTTAACCCTGATTGCCTCACCAAAAAAGAAAAAAAAATTAAAAAAGAAAAAGAATATTAGGGTCTTCTAATCCAAGCCCCTCATTTCATGGGGTAAGAAACTGAGGCCAGAGGAAGTTCAGTGACTTGCCCATGGGCACACACACATAGATAGAGAGCTGGAAGGGACCTCCAAGGCCATCTATTTGGTCTAATTGTCCTCATTTTACAGATAAACAAACAAAAACCGAGGGAAGGCCTGAGGTCAGATGGCTAATATATCATATGTAGGATTTGAACATGGGGCTTCCTGCCTCTGAGGCCACATTGTCCCTTGATCCTTACAGGAAAAGTTCAGTTTGAACAGGTACCATTAGAATGACCAGATGAATATGAAAAGGCTATCTCCATCTTATGGCTTAAAGTTCATATTAACACTGTTTTGCTGATATTATCAATACTGTGAATTCTGCTGAATAATAATAGCTAGTATTTATATAGCCCTATGTATATATATGTTATTGCAACTGATCTTGGCAACAGCTCTGGGAGGGAGGTGTGGTTATTGTCCCCGTTTTACAGATGAGCAAACTGAGGCTCAGAGAAGGTAAATGACTTAGCCTAAGGTCACACAACCAGCAAGCAGTAGAGCCAGAATATGAATTTGGGTCTAGTGCCTTTTCTACTCTGCTACCCGCATAAGCATTAAAAAAAAAAAACCAATCTATTTTGGTCATCTTTTAGTTTGAGCACTGAATTTCATTGAAATTCAACCAGAATAGAAGATGGTATCCATTTGGCACACTGGGTTTATGAATGGTATTGTCTGAGGCAGTCAGTGCCATGTTATGTGCTCTTTGAAAACACCTGAACAAATCCAAAAGAAGAAAGCCCCCACCATGTGCCATGGTGCTCTAGCAACTGGCAGTGATGGGCTTTCATGAGAGTGATCAAAAACAGTGCTCCCTAGAAACTCCAGCCTGCTGACAAACCACTTCTGAAAAGCTTTGACCTGTATAATTAGTTTTCTCAGCTCTGGCATCAGTGGTGTGGTTATCCTTCCCAGTCTTTTCTTTTTAATAAAAAGACCTGCTGTGTAAACACGTACCCTCATTCAGCATTCATTGTCATTTTCAGAGGCTTACTTTACTCAGCTTTATTTCAGAAGAGTCACTGATGGAGTGTCAGAAGGAACTGAAGAGGCCATCTACTAGAACCAATGCATTTTACAAATAAGGGAAAACCAAGGCCTGGCACGGGCCACCCTAGGTCACCCAGAGGATCCTCAATCTAGAGCTCGAAGGGATCCCAGAAGCTATCTAGAAAAACCCTCTCATTTTACAGAGGAGGGAACTGAGGCCTAGGGAGGGATCGGGACTTGCCCAAGGTCACCCAGCTATATAAGTATCAGAGATAGAATTTGAATCCAGGTCCTCTGACTCTGGGCAGCTAGGTGGTGCTGCAGTGCATAGAACACTGGGCCTGGAGTCAGGAAGACTCATCTATCCCAGTCCAAATCTGGCCTCAGACACTTCTTAGCTGTGTGACCCTGGGCAAGTCACTTAACCTCTGTTTGCCTTAATCCACTGGAGAAGGAAATGGCGAACCACTCCAGTATCTTTACCAAGAAAACCCCAAATGGGGCCATGGAGAGTTGGACAGGGCTGAAAAATGAATCAACAACCTCTGAGTCTAGAGATAATTCTCTTTCCGCTGTGCCAGCTGATAATGCTTTTCCTTTCCAACATTAGGCCAATATTGTGTTCCTCAGTTTAGTTATTAAGGGAGACTTTGAGTGACTTAGTCTAAGGTAGCGTTTTCAGAACCCTCCACTGACATTTGTCACATACCTCAGCTGGTACTATTTCGTGGACACTTGCAAAGACAGTCCCTGCTTTGCTTTGGGGCTCTGTGGGAACTGAATGTAGCCTGGTTCCTACTGGCATTTGGGCATTTCTTTTTTTTTCTTTTTTCTTTTCTTTTTTTTCTAGGCAATTGGGGTTAAGTGACTTGCCCAGAGTCACACAGCTAGTAAGTGTCAAGTGTTTGGTCTAAGGCCGCATTTGAACTCGGGTCCTCCTGACTTCAGGGCTGGTGCTCTATCCACTCTGCCACCTAGCTGCCCCGCATTTGGGCATTTCTACATTTCCTCACAGTATCTCTTTTTTCCTTCTAACATGAACTGGCTCTGCCACTACCTTGGCACAGCCAGGTGGTTGTGCTAGTGACCTTGGGCAAGTGACCTGATCTTCTCTGGGCCTCAATTTCTTTGCCTGTAAAGGGGGAGGCTGGACCAGATGACCTCCCAAGGTTCCTTCTAGCTCTGGATCAAGGATTCTATGAGTAAACATGGACAAATCACTTCACATCTCTGGACCTCAGATTTCTGCTGTGAAAAAGAAGAGGGTCAGCCAGGTGGCGCAGTGGACAGAGCACTGGCCCTGAAGTCAGGAGGACCTGAGTTCAAATCCTGGCCTCAGACCAAACACTTGACGCTTACTAGCTGTGTGACCCTGGGCAAGTCACTTAACCCCAATTGCCTAAAAAAAAATAAAAATAAAAAATAAAATAAAATCAAAATGAAAAAAAGAGGGGATTAAACTACATCCTTATGAGGTCCCTTCTAGCTCTAGATTGATCTAGGATCCTATGGGTGATTTCCCTTCCCTGGGCTCTATTCTCCTCCTATGTAAAAGGAGGGGATTGGACTAGTCAGCCTATGAGGACCTTTTCAGTTCTAGATTGACCTAGAATCCTCTGATTTCCCCTCCCTGAGCCTCAATCTCCTTCTCCATTAAAGGAGGGGACTGGACCAGCTGACCTCAGAGGTCCTTCCTTCCAGCTCTAGAACTGGGAGCCTTTATTCACCCAGAGGTGTAGAGCACTAGCTCTCTCATGCCGTACTCCCGACCTTCTGATTCTGCTTTTCACCACATATCCCGTATGACTTGAGTTGTCTCTTTTCCAGCTTTTACTGAAGTGGAGTCTGTGAGCCCTTCAAAAGGAGATCAACTTTCCAAGGATGAACTTCTCCGCTTCAGCCAGTTCCACGGTAAACGGGCATTCCAAATTTTAGTCTCGCTAATGGCAGTCAGTCAGGCTTTGAGGCTGTCTCGACACCAGTGCTCTACCCACGGGGGAGCGAGACAACCTTAGTTGTCAAGCGTCTTCCACTTCATATACAGCCCATGATTCTAGGCATCTGGGTCCTCACTAAATCTTTGACTGATTTCCTGAAATACAAGGCTTTGTACAGTAAACTGAGTTATCTGGAAAATTAGGCAGAAAATGCTTTTTGTAAAAATGTATTTGTCATTTGTTTTGCTTGACTATATATATGGGTTTTGTTTTTCTTTCTTTTTCAGTGACCAAGATTGGGGCAGGGCAGAGAGAAGGCAGATTTTTGTTAATTTAAAAAAAATGTATTTAAAAAATGTATTCATTGCCTTTCTCAACTTTAGTATACTGTATCTAGTACATGGGATGATCAAGGATCAGTTAGTCAGCAAACATGTATTAAGCACCTACTGTATGCCAGGCACTGTGCTAAGGGCTAGAGATAGAATGAAAAGTAAAAAGACAGTCTCCTTGCCCTCAAGGTGCTCACCATCTCATCTTTGTGTGTCTCGCATGGGTCATTGTGAATCTGAATTTTCATTATATTGGTTGAGAAGGCAGCATGGTGGAGTGGATGAGACAACTGGCTTTGAAGCCTGAAAGACCCAGGTTCTTGTCCATCCTCAACCACATCCTGGCTCTGTGACCCTAGGAAATTCACTTCACTTGTCGACTCCCCAAGAAACTCTCTAAGAGCAGGTGCCCATCTGCATTGACAGAGGGAATTTCCTCCCTGGCAGTTAACTACACTAATGAGATCACAAGTCTGGTCCAAAATAAAATGGTAGATGAGACTGGATTGAATATGTAGTGACCCCAGGAGTCCCCTTAAAGTCTAGACCTTTTGGTTTGCTTTTTAATTAACTCCCTGATAGGAGCATTTTGCCTTCTCCTTTGATTTATTCTCCCAAAACCCAGTGAGATGGGGCAGTAGGCCCAGTTAGCCAGTGACATTACTATAGGACACCAAAGCTCTTGCATGGTTTTTCTGTCACAATATCAGGCCATTTCAACCAAAATTAGACCCCCAATGGAAGAAAGTGAGCCATGCTGAATGCTTTGCATATGACAAAGCTGGGGTTTTTACCTTCTAAAAGGATTTAGTTAAACCAAGGAGTTTGAAGGATGTCATGTGTTCTCTTCCTCTAGTTTCCTTATCTGCACACGGACAGGAAGTAGGATCAGCGAAAGGCAGCCCAGAGAAAGGTAACAAACAAGCCTTTGGGAGTTCACTTAATTATGATGCTGTGTACCAAAATCGCAGCAGCAACAACCACTACCGCCTATTCTGAAGCATCTGTTACTAGTCAATGTGGAGACCCGATCAGTTGGTACAGACTGTAGTCCCTCTATGTTATCTCCTCCTGCAAGACTTCTCTGATACAGTGGAAAGAACATTGATAAGGGAGGCCTGGGCTTGAGGGTCAGATCCTACCTCTAATACTTCCTGCCTAGGTGACCTGGGACAAAACACTTCCCCTTCTTAAGCTTCCATTTTCTCAACCATAGGATGATGGAATTGGACTACCTAGCCTATGTGGTCTCTTATACCTCTAGATCTAGGATCCCAGAATTCCTCCCTGAGGGACCCCTCAACAAGCTGGAGGTCATCTTCTTGCCCTTTTTGCATTTCTTGGACATGCAAGAAAAAAGTCAATGCTGCTCATTTGTTTTCAGACATTCTTTAAGTTCGAGAACTTCTCGTATATATTTTGCTTTTGCAATTTATTTTACTACTTCACTAAATATTGGAGTTTCTTGATGGGAGTAAAACATACCATAGTCAAAAGACCCACATTATTTTAAAATGCAAATTCTGGGTGTTTTCTGGCCGAGTAATAATAAAGTGGTGAGGGCTATTTAAGTCTTAACAAATTTCTGAAATGCATCTTGGGCTTCTTACTCATTTGCCTAAAAGATTCTGAATATTTATTAGTAAATTCACACCAGTAATATCCTGATCAATCTATTTTAAAAACAAATGCATTGCATTGCATTTGGTAAAGCACTCTAAGCCACTGTAATGTTTGTGTATTGAGAACATCTGGAGAAATTATGCATGAAACACCTCGTCATGAGGCAGGCATTTCCAGACTACCAGATCGTTGAAAACGTCAGTTTCTTCTCTCCCATGCCCCAAAGTTGGTTTAAATAGAAATAGAGGAAGGACTACAGAGGGAGGCAGCAGGAGACTTCACCTTCACTTGCCGCTGCTATTCCCCTCTTGCTCTTTCTTTTTCCACCTTGTCACTCCCAGACTCCTAGAAAGAATTGTCTATACTCACTGCCTCTCCTTCCTTACCACCCACTCACTTCTCAACCCCTTTGCAATCATTTGACTTCCAGTCCCACCCCTCAACTGAAACTATTCTCTCCAAGGTTACCAATGATCTTTTTTTTTTTTTTTGGCTAGGCAATGGGGTGAAGTGACTTGCCCAGGGTCACATAGCTAGTAAGTGTTATGTGCCTGAGGCCAGATTTGAACTCAGGTCCTCCTGAATCCAGGGCCAGTGCTCTATCCACTGCGCCACGTAGCTTCCCCACCCAATGATCTCTTAAACACCAAATCCTGTGCTGTTTTCTCAGTCTTTCTCTTCTTTGACTTCTTTTTAAGTTTGGATACTGTTGATCATCCCTTTCACCAGGCACTCTTCTCCCTTAGTGTTATAGCCAAGACAACAGTCTGGTGCTTTATGTTTAGAATAGTAATGAAATAAGACTTGTAAACTATCTAACAGTTAACAGCAACAACAACAACAAAAAAAAAGAGTTTATGTAGCTGTAACATGAAAAGAAAACTGAAGGATACATCATCGATTCAGCTGAGCATAGCTTCTCTGCCTCTGTGTTGGCCGTAGTGGTCAAAAGCCCGAGGGAGGACTGACTCCTCACGAGCTGGCTCTTGTACTTAGACTAGTGGGGAGCGGCAACCATGGGTGGCCCAGCCTGAGTCTGCTGAACCAACTAAGCCTGGAGGCTTTCAGTACGTTTTAAAGAATGATGTGCCTACTGTGGCAAATACTGTTCCTGCCACACTTGCATTCAATGATACTTTTGTCTCCTCGTTCTTCTCCTACCTGTGTGCTCCTCATAGTCTCCTTTGCTGCCTCGTCATCCACCTCCTGCCCACCTGGCCTTTGTCCGGAGCTCCTTTCTCTTCTATCTCCACACTCCCTTGGTGATCTGAGCAGCTCACATAGGTTCAAAGTGTCTTTTTCTCTGCAGATGCCTCCAGAGATTAGATATCCAACCTTAACTTCTAAATTTTTAACTTTGAAACTTTAGTCTTCTAAACTCCAGTCTCATCTAATTAATTAGCTGCTGGATATTTCCTCCTGGATGTTGTCCTGTAAGCATCTCAAGCTCAGTCTGAGCAAAATGGAACTTAGAAGCTTCCCCTGCTAAACCTGCTCCCTTCACTGACTGCCTTTTTTCCACTGAGGATACTACCACTTCCTAGTCATCCAAGTTTGGACCCCAGCATTGTTCATCCCTCTTAGGTAGTCAGGTGCAACATCTCTCAGGTCTGTGGTCTTCTCTCAGATCACATGAATACTAGCCTAGTTCAGGCTCTCATGTCACCTGAACTATTACAATAGTCTCCCAACTGATTTCCCCATTTCTAGCCTCTCTGATCTCCCGTACATCCCATCCACAGTTGCCAAAAGAACCTTTCTAAGATGTAGCTCTGCACATGTCACCCCCTGCTCAAAAACCTTTCATGGTTCCCCATTACTTCTAGGATAAAATACAAGCTCCTTTTGCTCAGGCCCTCCACAATCTGGTTCCCACCCAGAACCATACCTAGGCTGGGGCAAATGGAACTTTGTCCAGGCATGGCTGAATTTAGAGACTATCAAACTGATGTCAAAAGTGGCTAGAACAGAATGACTTTGAGGCTCAAGACAATGAAATGGGAGGGAGGGAGGGATAGGACAGCCAATGCTTTGGGCTCCTCTAGTTAGCATGATTTGTCCAAGAGTGCCTTCCCCATGGGTATAGGCCCTTTCTCCTGGTGGACAGACCTCCCTAAGGGCAGTAGGAGGAGATAGGTTTCTGGGGCTGTGTACACACACTGGGGTGGGAGAGAATCTACATTTGGCTCTCACAAGGCGCACACACACAGGGCAGATGAGACTACTTGTGTTCCTCCTGGGTCAGGTTTCCCACTCCAACTACCTTCATGTCTTGGGGAAGGTCTTGGGTCTTTGCCAACCCAAGCCTGGAATAGGGCCTTACCCATGAAGAGGAAAAGATGGGTGCCCAGGGTCACAAGAACATGCTGACAGGAATTGAGATGACAGAGGAGTCAGGTGGGTAAAAAAGGATGTTGATCCTTCTGCCCCACCCCACCCCTAGATAGCCATGCATGCCTAGCTAGCACCTAGTTAGGAAGAGTAGTTAAAATAATAAGATTTCTCCTATTCTGTTCTTACCTTTCACAACTAAACTTCTAGTAAAATCTCTTCACGCTCCTTGTCTTCACTTCTCCTCCTACTCATTTCTCAATCCCTTGCAGTCTGGTTATTGTTTGTTTTTACACTACAGACATTTGTGAAAATGGCTCCCCCAGTCTCCCACAGGATCAAACCCTCCCTTGTAATGAAGAAAAATATTTAAGGAAAAACACCCAATATTGTGAACTCATCTCATGCTCTAGCCCGGAGATGTCCCACTCAAATAGAAACAAGGGCTACTAATATGTACATAAAGATCCCTACAGGCAGCAGATTGACTTAGTTTAAAATGTAATGCTATCTATGTTTTATTGTCTTTTTATTTATTTTGTTAAATATTTCCAGTCATATCAGTAATACATACAGAGTCATGTGACCTGTGGGCTGCGTGTTTGATTCCTGAGCTATGTATAGCACTCTGCCCTAGTATTCCTCTACTTCTCTGCTGAGAGGAGGAAGGTATATTTCATTATCTGTTCCCTAGAATTATGATTGGTTTTTTAGTTACTCAGGTTAGCTCCTTTTACTGATCTTTTACTGATCTTTTCATCAATGTTGTTGTTGTTGTCCTTGTTTTGTTCCCTTCACTCTCTCAGTTCAAATGAGTTCTCCCATGTTTTTCTGCAATACTCATACTTGTCATTTCATATCATGTGTGATCTTCCATTGCATTCATGTACCATAGTCCCACCATGTGCTTATTTCGGAACATCTCTTATCCTCTAGGAGAATAAAAGCTCCTTGAGGGAAGCCTATTTTTGTCTTGATATCTACATCACCCAGCAGAGTTCCTTGTGCATAGTAGGATATTAATAATTGCTTATTGACTTTAACAAAATGAGTGAAATCAGGTTAATAGCCAAGAATAAGGAGTTTGTTTTAAAATTCAGAGAAAAGATCCCTAACATCCCATTGGACAGAGTCTCTGCTGGGGAAGACGCCCAAGGGAAGAGAGTCTCAACAAAAGAAAATCTGGCTGTCCAAACCTGAGAGATGCAATATTATAAGCATAATACTTGTCTGAAGTTGTATCACAGGGACCTCTCTTACAACCTTAGAATCAAAAGGGACAGACATGAACAACAGAAGCGGCAGTTAAAAACCTGTGACTACAAAAGAATGCAGAAGACTGACTAGACCTGTTAGGAAGAGTAGCCCAGAATAAGCTAAAGGTTTTAAACCGTGCAAGGGACAACCAAAGCAAGCCTTCCATTTTCAGAGGTTTTAGGCTTCATTATATTCTAGGAAAGATGAATAGCTTTTATAAGCTCTGGAGGGTCTTATCACAACTCTCACTCCCACTTAGGTCTGTTCCACCAGAGCAAGATTGCTGGCTACCTCCCCCTCAGGTTTCTAGGGAACCCCCCGTAAGGTTAGTAGGGCTCTTCAAATGCTGTTGGCTTGAGCCCCCATTCCAATGTGTTTTCCCTAATATCAGTGACCACTTACATTTAGTATCTCTCTTATCATTGATCGATCCCAGCAATTAGTGGCCCGGTATCATTTAACATAAATTAGCTTTTACAAAGAGATATTTAATGAGAAGATGTGGCAAAAAATAGAAGTACAAAACATTCCCCTTCCCTAGTAGGGGGACCACACTCTCCCCTCTACTCGTCCTTGAGTAGAGTAGGCTCAAATTTAAAGCGTTTGCTACAAAGCATTTACCTCACCAAGGTGACTTCCAAATGCACCATAGTCAACAAAGTTGATCTAGGAGACAATGTCTTTGCTGCATTCAAGTCACTACTGGGGCTGGCTCTCATAAACTGCTCAGGGCTTTGCTTACCAGGTTTGGCTATGTGAAAACTCTAGAATGGAATCCTGGCACTGTCCCTCTTACAGCTCCCTCTTCTGACCCTTTTAAGTTCATAGGGTTGTATCCTAGGCCATGTGGCATCCAGTATTCTTTCAACTAAGGCAGGAAAGAAGAGAAATGTTGGGGACAGAAGCAATGGCCAGGCTATGTGCCCATGACTTCATGTTGACCTGGGTGGGGAGAGTAAGACATTGCTTACCTGTCTCCTCTCTTTCCTCTCCTCTTCCCTTCCCTTTTCCTCTCCTCTCCCTCCCTTTCTCTCCCTCTCTCCCTCCATCCTACCTGGAGACTTACAACAATCCTTGCCTCCTTACTAGAATGAAGCCAGGCCGGAAAAAGAAGAGAGAGTTTGCTTTGGCTGCTTAGTACCTTTTAAATGCATGCTCAGTTCTGTCTCGGAAACCAATCAGATGACTGTTTCTTCACCATGTGGTTAGTGAACTGGAAACAGTCACAGAATAACCACATGTTCTCAAGTGAAACACTGGGCCTTTCCATTCCACTCCATCAGGAGCTTCCTGAAGCCAGCTTACCAAATGTGCATTCTCCCAGGACTGACCCCTCATTGGCCAATCTCCCTTTACAGAAGGAAGGACAAGGAAGAAGGAGGTCCACTCCTGGAAGTAGAGGGGACAATGGACAATGGAGAGAAAGCAGACTTATTCAACTGCTCTTTTGCCTGTAACTCTTCTTGGCAAGGAGACTGATCTACAAGCTAGAAGAGTTGAGGAAGTTGGAGTTAATAAGAGAGTACCTACCAAGTGTCACTGAGGTCAGGCCCCCTGGCCTAGAAAAATTACCCTTATAAATGCTGAAGGAGCATGTAGAGAGGATTCCCAAACCATTATTGATCATCTTTGTGGTTTTCTGTTATTATTATTTTTTTTGTTTGCTTTTTGGCGAAGCAATCGGGGTTAAATGACTTGCCCAAGGTCATACAGCTAGTAAGTGTTAAGTGTCTGAGGCTGGATTTGAACTCAGGTCCTCCTGACTCCAAGGCCAGAGCTCTATTCACTGCACCACCTAGCTGCCCTTCTTTGTGGTTTTCTGAAGAACACAGGCCTTTCATCCCAATTGTTAAAAAGGGGAAGAAGGGAAATTCTGCAGACTACCTGTGAACTTGATTTTAATCCCATGCCAAACTCTGTAAGTGAGTATTAAGAAACTTTGCCAACTCTCTGAAATCAAAGTAGCAATTCCTGTGAGCCAGCATCAGCTCACCAAGAATACAGTTTCTTTCTAGCCTGGTAGATCAGGAGAATACTGTAGATATAGTGTGTCTGAATTTCAAAACATCATTTGACAATTTGGACAGTTGAACTCATGTCCTGATAGGCAAGATGGAGAAATATAGTCTAAATATTAGGTGGCTTCAGAACTCGTTGAACTTTCACAAAGAGGGTTACTTAGTGAATCGATATTGACTTGGAGTAAGGTCTGTAGTGGAGTGCCACGGGTCTTTGGCTCTATTTTGGTCAAACTCTTTATCAGTGACTTGGTTGAAGGTATTAACAGTGTGCTTTTCAAATTTCTAAAGAAAAATGAAAACTCAATGACCTCCTTCAGCGATAATTGATTTTAAACTGTTGTAGTAGCAACAGCAGTTCATTTTCTTATTTGGGCGAATGTGTAGTGTTGGGTTGTTCATAATGAAATGTTTCTATTCTCATTCAGGCAGGGGGAAACTCGATGTTCAGGAGTATCTAAAACAATGGCAAGACGAGCTTCTCAAAAAAGAAGAAAACATTAAGGATTTACCCAGAATGAATCAGGTAGAATAGTTTCAAAACCCTTATTTTCATATGAGTGTGGGTGTGTGTTAGCCTGAGTTACAAACTTATATAACATGCTGTGTATTCTATTTCCACAAGCACCAAATGAGGCTGGAGGAGTGGGAGCCGATGAGTTTTGCCAATGATTTGTGTCTCTAAACACTCAGCCATGTCTAGAAATGGAGTTTTCTCATAGATTACTGGTCGAGCAAATTTGACCTGTTGCTAGGACTAATTCATAGACCCTAGGTGTACCTCCCGGTCACTGTTTATAACATAACCTGGTTTGATTGTCACCTTTCCAAGTATTGGATTCAATTACAAGCTGGTCATACTAACTTTCAGAGAGTCTTTTTCAGTGATTCATTATGGCAACAAAATGCCGATGGTGGTAACGTGTTAGGTCTTAGGCATAGATGGCCCAGTGTGTTATTCTGTTTTCAGCTGTGTCAGGCTCATGTGTTTAATTCTGTTCCTACTGTATTGATGATTCTCAGGCTATATGTAATATGATACACATATACATGAGTAGTATTTGCCATTTTCTGCAAACTAAACTAAAATCTGGTAGCCCTACACTGGTACAGTTGACTTTCACAAAAATAAGGAGGGTCATCAAATTTTAAGTTCTTTCCTGCAGGTGAGGTGATTTGAAGCCTGAACTGTATGCTTTGAGAGGAACCAAACCCCATGTGTCTGATGGCCAGAGTCACAGAATGTCAGAATTGGAAGGGTCTTCAGTGGCCATCTAGTCCTAAAAAGCAGTTCCTTCTATAACAAATATGACAAGCTTTTGCTAGAAGCTCTCTGGTGAGGGCAAACCCGTTGCCTCCTAATGCAGTTATTCCAGTTTTGAATGGTGCTAATTGTTGGGAGGGTTTTCTTTATTTACATTGAGCCTAAATTTGCATTTTTGCAACTTCTGTCCCTCCTCCCGGGTCAGGAGATATATCAGGGAATGATTAATGTAAAAATAAAATGCATCAGTAAAACTTCTTATTTTCTTTGTGTATGTATACACATATATGTGTGTGTAGTTATTCACATTGATCTCCATTAGGATGTGAGCTCCTTGAAAGCAGAGACTGTTTTTGCCTTTCTTTTTATCCCCAGCACTTAGCACAGTGCCTGACACATAGTAAGTGCTTAATAAATGCTATTTGATGGATTGATTGATTGATATGCACATATACAAGATCGTGTGGTGTAGTGGATAGGAATCCAGCCTTAGAGCCAGAAGACCTAGTTTGAATCCCATCTCTGACACACACTGACTGTATGGCCCTGGTCAAGTCATTTCTCAGTGCCCTTGGCAGGTCTCTAAGTTGCAGAAAAGATGCTGACCCTCATTGGTAGAAGAGTTTCATATGGGTATACCCATATAGTACCCACAGTGCTACTACCTACCCTGTAATTTTTGTGTCAGGCATACCTTCCCTGAGCTGCAGTCTAGTCCTGGTTTTCATCTCACCAAGTCTCAGTGACACTTCTGAGGTCAGATTTGCCTCTTTGGTTTAGGCTCCTTGAGTTCCTCTTGATTTTTGCCTGTACTTTAGGCCTTTGTCTAAAGGCAATCTGGACCTTGGGTTTAATTACTTGTTCCTTTCTTGGATGTGTCTCCTATAAACTTCTGGATGTTTCACCAACTTTTCTTTTTCCTACCTTGCATAAATGAACCAATGAGAAAAGCAATGATCTCAGTCCATACTCAGTGCCAAGCACTAAGGCCACAAATAGAAATGCAAAACAGTCTCTGATCCCAAGGAGCTCACAGCCTAATTGGAAGAGCCAACACACAAAGGAGGGAGCAGCTGCAGTGCAAGTGGCAAGACCCAAGGTCCCTTACTGTGTAAGAGTTAAGCAGATGGCAATGCATCTTTTGTGCCATTTCCATTGATTACAAACCCTATTGGTTTCCATTTGACGTCACTCAGGACCTGCTTTCTGGGGTCCTCAGGAGCTATGGCTCTTGAGGACGCAAGGATTGTATTTTTTGGCTTAGTGGGTGGATGCAGACAGTCTTCTCCTTCCTCCTTCCTTTGTAGTTTAAATCCCATTTGAGTAGATTTGCAAAACTCCAGACACATGCTTTCTTTTTTTTTTAATATTTTTAAAAATTCTGAATTAAGTAAACACGAAAAAAAGCCCATGAATTTTTCCATATACAAAGTGGAACAGAAAAAGAAGATTATATGTGAAGCCATGAATCTGTCACATATACCTTGCTTTTTTTAAGCATATAATAAATGTAATACATTACTTTCAGAACTTCTCTACTTGTCTGTGTTTCCCCCTGAACTTTTTTCTCCTCTTTTCTGTCCATTAAGATGCTTCAGTGGCCCTCTTTTTTTTGGCAACAGTATTATTACTAGCGCTTCCTTCTTCCCAACCCCACCCTCAAATAAAAAGAGAAAAACACAATCCTTGTAAAAAATAGGCATAGTCAAGCAAAACACATTCCACGTTGGCCATGGCCAAAAATGTATGTCTCATTCTGTACCCTAAGGCCATCATCTCTCTATCTCAGGGAGTGGGTAGCATGCCTCATCGTTGGGCCCCAAGGATCATGGTTGGTCATTGCCTTGATCAGAGTTCTTAAGTCTTTCAATTTTTTTTAGTAGTGTTGTTATTGTATAACTTGTTTTCCTGGTTCTATTCACTTGACTCTGCCTCAATTCATACAAGCCTTCCCAGGGCCGAAAATACATTCTTACCAGCCTGATCCTTCTAACCAGGAGCCTGTCATGCCTATGTTGTCATGGTTCCATTCTCAAGACACTGTCTTCCAAAGCAACTGTTTCCTTCCCAGATATATTTTTTTTTCCTTCTTGCCCATGCCTTCAGTGAGTAGCAGTGCAAAAAATACCACCCATGACCCTACTATCTCAGCCAAGGCTTTGACATCTTCAGAAAAGTTTTCTAGGTTCCTTCTGGCAGTGCCATTTATGCCCACAGGAATCAACCAGAAGTGGGTAGCAGTTCTATATTTGGACAAGTCTTAGGAGGGTCTTTGTTGCATTCTGTAATCATTGCCACTTTCAAAATGGGAAACATCACAGAGTGGGAGATGAGTGGAAACTCCAAAGTAAGCAGTAGCCTTTTTTTTTTTTTACCCCAAATTTATTAGGGTAGTTTTATGAGTTGCCTTTTGACAAATATACTTCTGCAGGAATTCTCTGTGTTTGGAATCATTAATTAACCTTCATAGATGATATAAAAATGCCTATAGCTCATCTCCTTTCTTAGTGCCTCCTAATGTCTCCACTTTATTACACCCCACCCACAACCTTCATAAAAAAGGTGCTTATTTGCGCAAAGGTATTTATAGCTATATGGAATTGGGAGAAACTGGAAGGAAGTCCAACACCCCACCACTGGGGAAAGGCCAAACCAACTCTGGCACGTCACTGCTATGGAGACTATATCACCATGAACAATAACAAATGCACGGAGGGTAGAGACATCTGGAAACGTCTATACAAAAATATTGCGGCCTGAAAAGCGCAGAACACGCCCAACGAAACTATGCATAGGCTATAAACTGTTATATGCATCTATTCGAATTTACAATCAGAAGGCTCCGGGAAAAAGTTGAAGTGTTAGTTGCTGATAAATTGCTGTTGTGAATACTTAGAGGTACTTTTTGTTGTTGTTGTTAAGTTGATTAAACACAACATTTTTTAAGAGTGGTTGTTCATCACTACTAGAAAAATTCATAAAGTCATTCTTTCTCTTAAATGTGCTGGTGGATCACAGTATGTCTGTGCTGGGCATTTGGGGAAGTCAGAGAAAGCATTTCCTCCTGTTGCTAGTTGTTACCTGATGATTTCCATGGAGTCTCACAAAGTGCCTGGTATGTAGTAGGTACTTTCATGGATGTGTATTGGTTAGACTAATGTGCTTCTCCCCTTCCCCCCCCCCGAATATTAACTCGTTTTGGGTAGAGACCGTTTCATTTTTGTCTTTGTATCTGCAGTGCCTAGAGCAGTACCCGACACAGTTGATATTTCATAAATGTGCCAGATCAGAAGAACCAGCTGACAACTAGCTATGGAGTAGTGATAGGAAAGTATCCGGGAAGGTAGAAATTTCTGCCCCTTAGTAGACAGACTTTTCTGAAATTTTCTAGCCTAATTTGTTTGACTCAAGTTTTATTGACACCTCTGGTTTTTGACACCATAATCGTTTCTCAACATGCACCACCACTCCCCCTCCCAATTCAAGGCCCCCTCTATAATAAAGAAAAGCCGTTAAAACCAACCAACTAAATAAGTGAATCTGACAGTGTATGCTGCAGTCCGCTTCTGTGTTCTCTTACCTCCCTACTGACAGTAGGGAAATGGGTTTCACCATCTGTTCTCCAAAAGTAGGATTGAGTGTTGTAATTAATCCAAGACTGACTGCCTGTTTAGTGTTCACGTTACTGTTATTTGTCCCCATCTTTGCTGTGATGGTGAGAGGTCTCTAGATCGGCAGTTATATTTGGATAGAAATCCGTGTTCTTTCACTTCTCATAAATGCACTTCCCCAAATAAGTGCGATATTCTGTTGCCATGTCTACTTTGTGTCTCCTAGGTGCAATTTATTCAGCTCTCGAAGACCTTTTATAATTTGTTCCACGGGCATCCTGAAGAGGAAGAGTTATACCAGGCCATTGCAGTTGTGACCAGCCTCTTGCTCAGAATGGAAGAAGTGGGGAGGAGGTTGCATGGCACAATGTCACCCACCAAAGAAAAGGCCAGTGACTGCGCCTCCACAGCGGACCCTGGGAATAGCACCACCTCTCAGACTACCGAGGCAGCAGAGAAGCCCTCCCCACTTAAAGAGGAACACCAGTGGTCTTTTGCTTTCGAGCAGATCCTTGCATCATTGTTAAATGAGCCTGTCATAGTGAGGTTTTTTGAAAAGCCAGTAGATGTCCAAGCCAAGTTAGCAGATGCAAAAGCCTCCCAGCAGAGTTCTAGAACCAGGGTATAATTTACCAGCATGGAATCCATTTTTACCAAGGATTGCCTGAAGTGTACCAGGGTCCATCTAGCTCATTCCCTGTGATCCCTGGGAGCAAACCTCAGGGATTTAGCTTTATGTGGCACAGATCTATTTGAAGGAAACCAAGGTACCCCAAAGCACAATTCCATTCTTCTTTATAATAGTCTTAACTTTTAATATTCATAATGACAAGCACTTTTTATATAACATTTTACTTCATCTGCACTATCCTAAGAAATCTTGTTCATGTCACCCCTAGAGGGCACCACCAAACCACTCAATTTAAAAAAAAATGACTTACTAATAGTTACCTATGAAGTAGTGTTGGAATCTTCAAGTTTGCTCTTGTGTTTGGATACTAGTGATGCTGCTTTGTCAAATTGACAGCCCCTTGTTTTGAATTCTGTATGTGTATGTGCCTCAGTCTTGTGTAGATGTTAAAGTGCTTTAGAGAATAGAGCCTTTTGAGCCTTAATTGTCCAAGGAACGTTGCCATTCGGAGGTTTTGTGTTCAAGTCTTAACTGAGTGACTATAATTAATTAATTTTTTTTTTTAGTTTATCCAATATTATCTTCTAATGATTGGTTCTGGAGGGACTTCCAACATCAGTCCAGGTGCAGAAGCCATCTCTTTTCCTTCCTGCATCCTTTTCCTCCTTTATGGCAGTGTGGCGTAATGGACAGAGAATTGGCCTGGGAGCCAGAAAGACCTGGGTTCCTCCGACACATAGTGGCTGTGTGACCTTGGGCAAGTTCCTTAACCCCTCAATGTTCTAGGTAACTCTAAGTCTCTAAGATGCAGAGAAGATGCTGACCTGCATTGGCAAAGGGGCTTTCCTTGCTTGGGAGTTACCTATACCAGTGAAATAACAGGTATGGTCCCTATCCCATGCCCCCTCCTTCACAGTCTGTTTTAGATCTTGAAGCCCAGCATTAATTTCCTGTTAGCAAGATGGAACAGAGAGGAGGAAGAGATTTGTTTCTTTGCTCTAAAGGCTGAAGAGGCTGTCTCAGAAAGCATTTGTGTGTCCAGCCCCTTAGAGGAGTTTGCACTTTGCTGATTATAAAGGGGAACTCGTAAGAGTTTTATTCTCCTGCTTTTGTGCACATGAAAGAACAAAAGTTATTGACAGATGTATCTGATGGGACATGTAATATTCCACGTCTGTTCTCTAGACCAAGATTGATCACATTAACTGTGTGACCTTGGACAAGTCTCACATCCTCCCTTTGTTTACTCTTCCATACAGTAAAAGAACTGGACTAAATGATCTCTACGGGCCCTTTGAGCTCTGAGATTCTAGGATTCTGTCTCTGCTGCTAATGAAGATGAAGAACTTCCTTTTCCCCCTACAAATTGTGTTTTCTGCCTTTTGTTTTTACATCCCCTACATTTCCCGATGACTCCACTCTCCCCTCACAAGGAGCCATCCCTTATAATAAAGGGGGAAAAAACAGTTCCACAAAAAGAATCCACAGAAAATAGCCAGTTTGTATGCAGAATTACCAGCATCCACTTCAAACACTGGGCTCTTACCAGATGAACTTAGACAGGCTCAGATTAGGCTGGGAGAATGAAAACCCTTTGAAATCTGAAAGATCAAAGCTGTGCTCATCATATCTTCCCTGCTCCCTGGCTCTGACCAGGCTCATTCTTTCATAATCAGTCATTAGAATGATTTCTCTTCGAAGAGCTTTGGTCTTAGCCATTTCACACATTCAGATGGCAAAAAAAAAAATACTAATAATAATAACTGGTGTTTCTATAGTGCTTTAAAGTTTGCCAAATGCTTTCCGTAGATATTTTCAGTTAGGCCTCAGAAAAATCCCTGGGAGGCTGGTATTGCAGATATTTCCCTGTTTTTTAGATATCGAGATTGAGAGTCAGAGGTTTGCTCCCATGGTCACATGGACACTCAGATCCAGGTCTTCCTGACCCCCATCCCAGTGCTTGGTCCACTATGCCATGTAGCACCATATATGGCTTTGTAATTAGGGTTCTGATGTGGGTCAAGTCAACTCTCGGTGCATGAGACCCTAAATCTAGGATCTTTTTTAATGGTAAAATGTCTCCTTTTCAGGAAGGTTCGATTTCTGAATAAGTAGCATTCAGATCTACTTATTCTCCATTGGACTCTAGAATCAGTAGCTGGCCTACTGAAAATCCTCTTAGTTTAATTTGGAAGAACACTTCCTGTGATATCACCTTTCAAACATGCTCAACACTGGCTTACCAGTTGCAGCTTAGAGACAAGCGATTGGGGGTGCAATTGGCCTTGCCTTCTTGCAGAAGTAAGGTTTGTTGAAACATTCCTGGCTTTCAGAATAGTTACCCAAGATTGCACAATGAGTGTTAAATTGGCCTTGTCTAATTGACACAGTGCTGTAGGTATCTGTGACATACCAGGCCCTCCTGTATACATCTTCAATGATTTTTTTTTTGTCAATTGCCTTTGCAAAAACAAAAACAAAAAAGACCCAAAGCTAAAAGAGCATCTATTCAGAGTTGTTATAATGATAAGCCTTATGGAAGATTGCTGTGTATTATCTTTTAGCCTAGATTCTTTGGAACTGAATACTTGAAGACATTCCTGGAGGGAAGAGATTATAAATGCAAGTTTAAGGGGCAAGTGGTATATTTTTGCAGTTTGTGTGAGAAATATGTTGAACAAAGTGTGTTAGGGGAAGCTTGGAGCATCAAAACTAAACTTATGCAGAAAACCTTATTAAATATATTATTTAAAATGCCGTTAGCTGTCTTTATTAGACTCAATGTGCACCGACTCTTAGCAATTTAAAAACAGAAAAAATGGTGTTCTTCCCGGTGGTCACTGGGTACATGTACACATTATATAATCTTTATATATATATATAATCTTTAGCTCAGATACAGTGAAAAGAGCATTGGGTCTGGGGTTAGAGGACCTAAGTTCGAATCTCACCTCTGACGCCTGTGTAATGTTAGCCAAGTCACTTCCCCTCCCTGGCCCTCAGTTTCCTCCTCTAAAATGAATGGGTTGAACTAGGGGGCCTTAGAGGTTCCTTCCAGCTCTAAATCCATGATTGTTTAATCAGGATTTAGGTTGTTTGGGGCTTTTTTTGACATCAATTTTCTCAGGGCCTCACCTAGAGAGGGAGAAGGAAAGAAATGGATTGATCAGTCACTTTCTTCAAAAGGCAATATATAGAAGCCTGAAATCAACAAGACTTAATTAAGCACCTACTATGTGAAAGACCCTGTGCTGAACACTAAGGATACAAAGAAAGGTATCTTAAAAAAAGGTATTTTTTTAAGTATAAGATTAATTCTTCATATTACTTTCAAAACTGTCCTGCTTGTCTGTGCTTCTTTCTGAATTTCCTTCTATTCATTTTAAATGTTTCAATGACCCTTTTTTTCCCCATCAGTTTTGCTAACTCCCGTTGGAATCTCTCCCAATTAAAAACCTAGAGAAAGAAAAACCTCATAACAAATTAGTAGAGTCAAGCAAAACAATCCACATAGCAGAAGTCCAAAAACATAGATCTTGGCACCTCTCGTCCTCTCACCAGAGATTTTTTTTTTTACCTAAATGCAAAACTTTATATAGCTGAGTGCTAAAGCCCAGTGGTATGGGACTCTTTCTTCACTCAATGTTTGCATTGTTTCTTCTTCAAATGATCCTTCTATTCCTTGAACATTGTAGGGTTTCTGAAATCATACTTCTCAGGATCTACCTCTGGGGTGGCATGTTCAGTGGGCATCCCAGGGGTGCCATGCTACTGTGACCTTCAGTGCTCTCTGCCAGTATTGTCCTCTATCTTCCTGCAAACTTTGGAACAGGAGGCATGGACGAGTGGGGTGTTCAAGTCTTGATCCTCAACTCCCATCCTCCTTCCCACAAACATATATGTCATTCTGCATTTTAAGTCCATCATTTCTTTGGCCTCCTTTTTGGTTCTCCAGAATCATGGTTTGCCATTTTGTTGGTTGGAGTTCTAAAGTCTTTTAAAGTTACGTTTCTTCATAAAGTTGTTTTCATCATGTAAGTTGTCCTCGTTCTGCTCACTTCACTCTGCTTCAGGTTGTACTATCCCAGGATTCTCTGAAATTGGCTCCTTCATCATTTCTTATGGCACAATAAAATTCTGTTACATCCACATACCACAATTTGTTCAGCCATTTTGCAGTTGTCTAAGAGGCAGTCTAAGGTAGGGCTTCTTAAACTTTTTCCACTCACGACCCCTTCAGTGCTTCTTAAACTTAATTGCGACCCTTAGAAGCGCTGATCTAAGGCATCCCTTTAAATTCCGATTGCTTTCTTTTCTTTTTCCCTGCTCTTTCAATCCTCATTGCCATTGTCCAATAGAGTTCTTTTATAAAAGAAAACTACACCATTTATGTCTTCGTAAAATTCTGAACTTAAACACCAAAAACAGAGAGTATTTCGATGCACACAGCAGAACACAAAAAGAGAATTCTATGTGAAACCATAAATCTTCATTTCATACTGCTTGCTTCATTTTTTAAAAAATTAATATTTTATTTTTTCCCAGGTACATGTCAAAACACTTTTTATTATTTGTTTCTTCAAAGTTCGATTGCCTTTGGGCATAGTTCCAAATTGCTCTCTAGAATGGATGAATCAGTTCACAACTCCACCGACAATGCATTAATGTCTCAATTTTCACACACCCCCTCCAACATTTGTCGTTTTCCTTTTCTGTCATATTAGCCAATCTGATAGGTGTGGGATAGTAGCTCAGAGCTGTTTTCATTTGCATTTCTCAAATCAATGGTGATTTAGAATTTTTTCATGTGACTATAGACAGCTTTGATTACTTCATCTGAAATTTGCCTGTTCATCTCTTTTGACCATTTGTCAATTGGAGAATGGCTATTTTTTATAAATTTGACTCAATTTTCTACATATTTGAGAAATGAGGCTTTTATCAGAGAAACTTGCTGTAAAAATTTTTTTCACAGTTATGATTACTATGTATTTCCCTCCCTCCTATGCCCTCTATGTATATTCCTTCTAACTGCGCTAATAATGAGAAAGTTTTAGGAGTTACAAGTATCATCTTCCTGTGTAGGAATGTGAACAGTTTCACCTTTTTGAATCCCTTGTGGTTTCTCTTTCCTGTTTATGTTTTTATACTTCTTTTGAGTCTTGTGTTTGAAAGTCAGATTTTCTATTCAGCTCTGGTCTTTTCATCAGGCCTGCTTGAAAGTCCTCTATTTCACTGAATATCCATTTTTCCCATGAAGGAGATTATGCTCAGTTTTGCTGGGTAGATAATTCTTGATCATAATCTTAGCTCCTTTGCCCTCTGATCCAGACTCTGGATCCATGATTTTTTAATTGTTTCTTTCCGGCTGCATGCAATATTTTCTCTTTGACCTGGAAGCCCTGAAATTTGGCTATCAGATTCCTGGAAGTTTTTCATTTTGGGATATTCTTTCAGTTTCTATTTTACACTCTGATTGTAGACTATCAGGGCAGTTTTATTTAATGATTTCTTGAAATATGATGTCTAGACTCTTTCTTTGGTCATGGCTTTCAGGTTAGTCCAATAATTCTTAAATTACCTCTCCTGGATCTATTTTCTGGGTCAGTTGTTTTTCTGCTAAGATAGTTCACATTTTCTTCTATTTTTTTCTTTCTTTTCATTTTGTTTGATTGTTTCTTGATTTCTCATGGAGTCATTAGCTTCCACTTGCCCAATTCTAATTTTTACAAATTATTTTCTTCAGTGAGCTTATGCATCTCCTTTTCCATTTTGCCAGTTATGCTTTTTAAGGAGGTCTTCTCTTCAGTGGATTTTTGTGCCTCTTTTGCCACTTGGCTATTCTTTGTTTTAAGGTGTTATTTTCTTTAGTATTTTTTTGTACCTCCTTTACCAAGCTATTGACTCTCTTTACATGATTTTCTTGTGTTATACTCATTTCTTTCCCCAATTTTTCCTCTACCCATCTTATTTGGTTTTTAAAATCCTTTTTGAGCTCTTCCAGGAATTCTTGTTAGGCTTAACATTTTTTTTCTTTGAGGCTTTGCTTGTAGCTGTTTTCACATTGTCATCTTCTTCTGAGTTTGTGTCTTTATATTCCCTATCACCATAGCTACTTTTTTATGGTCAGTTGTTGTTTGCTCATTTTCTAGCCTATTTCTTGACTTTTAACATTATGTTAAAGTTGGACTCTGCTCTCAGGGTACAAGGGGCACTATCTCAAGCTTCAGGCTTTTTGAGCAGCTCTTTTCTGTGCTGGTTCTGGAGGTCTATAAGTTTTCAGTTCTTCCATGGTGATATGATCTAAGGAGAGATGTGGTCATTGCTCTTCTGGTGTGCCAGTGCTCCTCCCCATATGCCCTAAATGCCCTGGGACTGTGACTTAGAACTGCAATTCAGGATGCTACCTGGATCCACATATGGGCAATGCAACAGACTCCTGCCCCCAGTGCCATCAAAGGGATCCCTGTAATCTCCTTCCACCCAGTTGTGTGACCCCCTTACCATCTGTGGACTGAGAGCTCTGGAAACTGCTCTGCCATCCCTGATTTAGTCATTCCCAAAGCCTGCTGCTAGTTTGTAGGGACCCAGTCTGAGCTGTCACAGCCTGCAGTAGACTGCACTGTGCTTTCACCCCAGCGCGACAGACCTTTCCTACCGACCTTCTAAGTTGTCTTGGGCTGAAAAATCGTTTCATCCCATCTTTTTGTGAGTTCTGCTGCTCCAGAATTTGTTTTGAGGCATTATTTAAAGTTGTTTGGAGGATAATTTGGGAGAGCTCAGGTGAGCCTTTTCTCTGCCATCTTGACTCTACCCCATCAAGGACTCACATATTAATGAGGGAGACCACAGGCAAATAATTGTGTACATGGAAGATATACAGGGTGTCCCGAGAGTCTTAATACAGTTTTAAGCTTTAGTAGACTTTTGGAGCACCCTATATACCAAGTAGTGGAAGGTAATCTCAGAAAGAACGGGGCAGCTAGGTGGCGCCATACTGCACAGAGTGCTGGACCTGGACTCAGGAAGACTCATCTTCCTGAGTTCAATCAGGCCTCAGACACTTCCTAGCTGTGTGACCCTGGGCAAGTCACTTGTCCCTGTTTGCCTCAGTTTCCTCATCTGTCAAACGAGCTGGAGAAGGAAATGGCAGACCATTCCAGTATCTTTGTCAGGAAGACTCCAAATGGGGTCACAGAGAATCAGACACGACTGAACAACAACAACAATCTCAGAGAGAAGGCATTTTGGAGGGGAGGAGAGGAGAAAGGAGAAGAACCAGGAAAGGCCACCTGCAGGTGGGATTAGAACTGAGACTTGAAGGACACCATGGAAGCCAAGAGGCAGAGATGAAGAGGGAGAGCATTCCATTCGTGGAGTTGAGAAATGGAGTGTCATGTATAAAGAACAACAGGGATCAGTGAGTGTCACTGGATCATGGGTTATCTGGAGGGGAAAAAGGATAGGAAAACTGGAAATCTAGGAAGGGGATGAGGGTATGAAGGCCTTTAAAAGGCCAACAGAGCGCTGTGGATCAAAATTTCCTCCTCTAAAATGAGGGGGTTGAACTAGGTGTCCTCAGAGGCCCCTTCCAGCTCTAAATCCATGACTCTGAGATCAGGGTTCAGGTTGGTTTTGTTTCATTTTGTTTTGTTTTTAACATCAATTTCCAGAATCACAGACTCTTAGATTTGGAAGACTACTCAGAGACCGTCTAGTTCAACCTGTGCCAAAAGCAGTGGTCATCTACCCTTTGAT